GCAGCGGCAGCAGTAGCAGCAGTAGTATTGGCAGAAGCAGTAGCAGCAACAGTAGGAGCGCGACTAGGAGTAGAAGGAGGAGTACGAGCAAGGCAGGACAATTGGAAGTGCGAGTAGGGTAGGAGTAGGAGAATGTGTACGAGTCGGAGTGGGCGGAGGAGTAGCAGCAGTTGTATAATATGCGCTTGTAGTACTAGTTCTTCGTCGTCATCGTCGTCATGGTCATATTATTGCCGCCACCGTCATGTTTTGCATTGGCGATGATCGTGCTGGTGCTTGTGCCCTGCTGCTGCTGCGGCGGTGTCATGGTCGTGCTGCCTGAAAGTTAGCAAATGCACCACTGTAACATCCATTGGAGACTCACCCATCTGGCAGTCCTTTTCGCATGGTCCACAACCGCAGGTTTGCTGGCCCATCCTCAAGCTTGACACTTACATCTATGCTGGGGGAGTAGGAGGCTCTACGTACAGAAACCGTCACTAACCCCTTGGAGGCTGTACAAACAAAACTCGGCTAGCGATTGCACCGGGATCATGCAAGTCTAGGAGCTTTTCCGAGCAGAAATGTTTGTGGCACTGACCTGCGCCCACCGGGCGGGTGAAAGGGAATGAAAGGGGAAGTCTCTGTGAGGACGGGGTCTATATAGTGGTCCCTATTTCAGGAATTGTTTGGAGACCCCCATCTCTTTTGCAACTGAGCCCCCGACAGCGTGGACAGCCAGATTATGGCGAATCCAGCTGCCTACAGTACCTCCTGCTACAGTGAATTCAAACCTGGGCCATAACGCTGCGGTTGTTCACGTAAGATTTGAGCCTTTCTAAAAGGGCCTGGGGGTTCCACAAAGGGGGCAGGCATAGATTCAGACGAGCTATGTAGTATAATCTAAACTGCTATAGCATCCCTCTTAGTAACCCCTAGNNTTGAAGGAGTTTAGACTATAGTGCAGATTGGCTTCCCTACATGCTGTTGGTAAGTTTCACCTGGGTGGTTCTGAAGATTACTCCGTGTAATCGCCTTTGGGAGATGCCCATGACCCTTCTGTAGCCCATATACCATACGGTTTAGGGTTTAGGGTGGCGGAGATTTGGGGGGGTTCTCAAAACTAGGACTTCTCTTACAAGGGGTAAAAGGCGTGAATAAAGGTATTTAAAGGTATGTAGTGCAACCAGAATGAAAACTTGTGGTAGAAGCCCCTACACCCTTAGACGAAGCCCTATTCATGTAAATGCGATGAAATGCCTATGTGGGATTATTGCGGTGGGAGGGCTTGCTGCAGGATTTGAGGGATCCCTAACTGACCAAATTCCAAACCCTGTCTAGACATCCAGATCTGCGATACGTGACACGGGCGATGTGCGGAGTAGCTGAAGTCTCAGGTCACAGCCGATCCACACCTTGGACATCAATGTGCAGCACTACCACAATTGGGTTTAGGGGGCATGAGGAGGGTGCGTCACTTCGCCACAATTATTCATGGCTGTGCTGTTCAATTTTGCAACTCAGGTTGCACCTCGTGCTGATATCATTAGCTTGCCTGTTGCTTGAACTGTTGCCCAACTGTGGACACCCTCATGCCTGCTTGATGGTGCACGAGACCTCGTAACCCAGAAAATGAACTCCATTGGCATCTCAGTCAGTTCAGAGGACTAGCGATATTATCATTGATTAAGAAGCGCCCGCGACCAACAATTAGATCCATGGGTCCTGAACCCACAAACTTCAAACCTATTAAAGCCAAAGTTCTGAGCCCAATATAGGCCCTTAAATCCCAAAAGCTATACGGGTAAGTGCAGGGCAGAGTGCCCAAAACCTGAGCTCCTCGAAGCTGTAGCCGGACCTCCATGCTTGACGGAGTTGCTGTCAAGGAAAGATAGTAAATAAGAAGTTTTCCTCACTATAGTAACTTACTTTAAGTCCTTAACAGCAACCCGGTTCGGGGCTCTCAGACTTACGCAGGTAGGGTCTCAGGGGTATGCTAGACAGAGCTTCATACGGGTATATAGGGATACATGGGGCTTAGGGTTGATGAAAAGGGACCGGTACCCGGTACCTTCCGAATACTAGGGATACAGCAGAGTTGAAGGGAGTTCTTTGGGATTTTGAGAAGGTTAAATTCGGGATGAATTCGCTACATGGATACTCATTTTGGTCGTGCACGGTTCTATCGGACTCTCGAGGGCTGCAGCCCTCATATGCTAGCCACTTGGCGAATTCAGAACCCATTCAGGCACGGCTTTCGACAAAACATCTTTCGCATTGTTAAAATAAGCCTTGCCAGTCTAGCTACGACGGACCTTAATCTGCCATCCGTCCTTGACTTCGAACATAAATTTTGCCCTTGAGTACCTTCATAGACTATGACTCCTTTTCCAGGGCATTGAAACATCTCGGGAGGAGCAGAAATGGAGTTGCATGGGAATGTATGGAGCCTAGGGTTTGCAAAAAGACTGAGAATTCCTGCAACAACATAATCAACTTGATGGGGATCCAAGGGGAACGATGATCACTGAACAATCAGCTGACCCCTGATTCATGAAACTCCTCGTGGTAAACATGCATCCCAGACCTTCTTGTGAAGTACGGACCTGAAGGCGTAAAGTGGGCCTAGACCACTCTCTCTCGCGGCCTAGACCACTAAACCCATGAAACCTGAACCCTAAGCCCATGAAACCCTCCGTCGAAATTTCCCGGCCTCGTTCTTCTTGCGGCCACCACCAGACGCAGCCACGTGGCCGAAGTCCAGCGTGAGGCATCCCTCTTTGGGTGGCGGCCTGCTTTTACTCACCGTCTGGAGTTAAGGGTTTAGGATAGGGAATAGGAAAGAAAGTTGGGAAGCACTATCTCATGAGTGCAAAAGCCTGTAGGGGCTAGATAGAAAGGTTACTGGGTCATGGAGGAATTGAAAAAGCAATGGAACCTGCTATATAGGAAATTTTCAAAACTATTTGAGTATAATCCTGAAGAAGAGCTCCCCATAATCTCTCATAACCCCGATATGTCCCTAGGCCCTAAACCCTAAACTCTAACCCATAACCCTGAAACCCGAAACCCCCCCTCGTTTGAGAAACTCCCTTATCATCTTGGGTTTTGCCACTTGCATGGCTCTGCGGCAGGACAAAGTCCCATTCTGGTTCAAGCGATGTCCCGAAAACCTCAAATGGCTATGTCCCAAAATCATGGATATGGGGGTTATATATAGGGTATATTGGGATTTATGAAGGTTAGGGTATCTCCCAAAATTATGGGTACCATTTTGGGTGGTCCTAAAAGTTTATACCTCTCATTTTGGGGTCTATATTCGTGTGCCCTCATTTTGGGAGACTACCAAATGGGCATTTCCAAAACCTTGGGGTCCCCCATATAATGCACAAACACCATTTCTGTAGGGATGCAGCCTCCACAACTGCAAGAGTCAGAGGAGGCATGCAACGAAAGCAGGAGCGAGAATGGCTTACATTGAATGGATTCCAACCTCCAAACTGACATGGCACCCCAAAAAGGGCGCGAAAAAAACACAATCTTTCTCAAAGAAAGCTATATGGTGGTTTTCGAAAATTAGGTGCCTGCGGGTCCCTAGAATAAGGACTATAGTACAGTGGGGTCTATTTTGGGGTCCTACTACTTAGGGGAACTACCATATCGGGTTCCATGTTAGTCTGTAGTCTCCTTAGACCTATAATAAAGATACTATTTCTAATACTCCCTTAGGGCTATACTCTTATAAAAATTAAAGAATTCCTAAGGAGACTATAGCAGTGAGGGGCGGGGCAGTGATTGGATGACAGATCTGCCACGCCTGAAGACCGGTTCTCCCCTTTCTTCATCCACCTGCGGGCATTGGGGGTTCAAGTAACATGGGGGTATATAAGGATAATGGAAAAGAAAACGGAAGCTGCTACCCTAAACCCTAAACCCTAAACCGCGTAGCTACCACTTAGAGTTGAGGCTTTAGGGTGTTTAGCGAGACTTATAGGGCTATATAGGCAAAATCAACTGGAACATGTCGAAAGAAATTGCAACTTTGGTTTCGAGACAAGAGGGGTTTATTATGTAATGCAGGGGCCTGAATCACTACCAAAATCAAGTCAGGGTCTGTTTGAGGTACCCTTCACTAAGATTGATAATTGTACATGGAGTCTGGAACCATACCGTTCGTAATTGCGCTTTTCGCCTATTACATTAGCCCACACAAAGCTTGGCTGGTGCCCCAACTCAAACAGTGTGAGTCTGGGTTGGCCCCTAAAACTCTTTGAAAATATTCAGACAGAGGGTCCCCTATTCAAGCCATTGGAGAAAATACTAAATATCTCAGGGGCCTACCCAGGGGTGACCTCTTTCGGCTAAGCTGAAGAAGGCCACGCAGACATGAAACAGAATGCCAGCCACTGCAGCTTCGTAGGCCACACCTAATAGGGTATATATATATATATTGGGGTTATATTGTAGGGTTATATTGGGGTTTTATAGGGATAATGGAAAAGAAAATGGAAACTACTATATAGGGTTTAGGGTTTAGGGACTTGAGTAGTGTTTTTTTTATGATGGTTAAACCCAGTAAGATAATATTCCTTACATAAAATACTATACCCCAAAAGGAGGATATAATCTTACTCTATAATGGGTACCATAGTATCCCCAAATAAAATACTACTCACCTGAGAAAGCCAAGACAAGACTGTCTTGAAGCCACCCCTATAGAATCCTTAGTAAGGATCCCATATAAGCCCTGTTAAAATCTCAAATTTCCACATGCCATGTACGCACACATATATACATATATGAATATATGTATGTGCATATCCCTAGGGCCCACCAAGGATACCCCTGTTTGAAAAACCTCGGGCGGTGCAAGCGCAGGTTTGTGCCTCCAACTGCCCTCCACACGTGTCAGTCCTCCATAGGGAGACACAGGTACTCGTTCTTAGTAGGGAATAAGGGAATACATTATGTGGGAATTATATTCCCTTAGTCCCTACTAAGAAGCAGTAAGCAAACGGCAATGAGCCACATGGTTTAGCAGTCAATTAGGATACTGTATAGTGAATGAAGGACGTCTCGCACATATATGCTTTGTCAGCTGCACCCCTATTATTCCTCTAAACGCTACAAATCCCTAAAGGGCTTCGGTGGGCACCCCTACTTTGAGGAATTTGCAACGATAGCATAAATGACGACAATGAAAATAACAAATAACATCGAGAGTCTGTGTACTGTGCTTATAGCGGCAACGCGTGCTGTGCAAAGAGACTGCTGGATTATATAGGAATTCTATATGAAAATATAACTATAGATATACACACAGGTGACAGCATGGAGACTGCCTTGGGGGCGAAAGGCATCGCCCGTCTGTCGGCCTCGCTTAGACAAGGCAAAAATCAAGACCAGGGCTGAGGGTTCAAGTTTAGGGGCGAAACTTTTCACAGCAAAGGAAAACACGTAGCGGCAACAGCGCGCAATATTCCGATGGATCTTTGTATGTAACTCTGTGTTGTATATATTTATGTATGCATGCTATTACGTGTATATACGGACATCGCTACGTAACGATGCGCATTGCAAGTAGGACAAATCTGCTGTAGGATCTGCTAAGCATATACTTATATTTCAGCAACCGTCTTTTTGTTCAAGGCTGCGCTGGCGGCCTTCTTCAACAGGTCAGCAGGGTGGGGTTAAGTTAGGTGGGGTGAAGGGTCTAGGGCTTAGGTGATGCAACTCCAGTTCCAATTTCATTTTCCATGTGATTCTCCATTATGAGGGACCAAATGATCCCTAAACCCTAACCCTACAGAAATATCCACATCCCTTCCAAACATTCTTCTTGGTTTTACCTACACTCCACAGAAAAATGGAACCCCAAAGCGGGCGACTCTAGAAGCAAGGATTGGGTTTAGCTTACGAGGGAAAGGCTATCTTCCTGACGGCTCGACCCCACGCATCTCCACCCCAAACGCACCTTCGCCAGCCCTGGAACGGTCTCTTTTCTCCATACGCCACTCAGATCATTGAAACTGGTCTGCTGAGCAGCGCAGATCACTAGTCGTAAACGAAGTCGAAATCATCTTCTGGGATGTTGTCCAAGTCTATCGTGCAGCCTGGTCCAGACTTGCAGCCAATGCACAATGCCCAGAAAAAAAAAGCTACAATGTGGAGATTTCTGGACATGTATAATATTAACGCTGTACGTCGAGCGACGATGTTGCGACCTCACGTAGAGCACATGCCTGGAATTCGAGAAGCCCGGATACATCCCCATGTCTCAACGTCATATCTATTGCCCCTACCATCGCGTTTGTCTAACTACACCGCATCCACAAGCCAATGAGGACTGCCTGGCAACCCTAACCGGGGCCAAACCCCCGTAAACATGACTGGCGCAAGGCAGCTTTCTAGGGCACCGAACACTCTAAGCCCCTTAAAGCACCATGACAATCTTAGCCCGGCACCGTCGATTTCGGAGCAGGGTACCCATGGATGAGCTTTGCACTGCTCGATGCTCAAGCGCTTGGACACATCCTGGAGCTTGGGGTTTTTAACACCACGGATAGCTTCAACAAAACAGCTCCTTGTCCCAAATTGCTTCTGCTCCCTCTGCTGAAGGGGAGCCCAGAGTTGAGTAGCCATGATGCCCCTAAAATGCACCCCTAAACCCCAAAAATCAATACCCTAAACTAAACCCTAGCATTCCCTGCGTTCCCCTCCTTCTCCAACATTTTCTCGAGAAGATCTTTGGCTTCTTCGGAGCAATGGACAAGGGCTTTCCTGTCATATTCGGACCTGCAGCACAGCAGAAAACCCCAGGACTCAACCATGTGGGTAGTTACCAAAATTATGGGCCCGTTCTGGTTATAGATTATCTTACAGCACCTCATATCAAGGGGTACTAAAATAAGATCCGAATTTTGGGAACTACCCATGTGTTTCTGCTCGATATGCCGATGCTGACACTTGTGGATCCCGATATGGCACCGAGTATCTGGTGGGGCAAAAAATGGGATCCTAGTTTTGGAAACTGGTCGTCCAGTCTCTGAACCACGTGATTCGTTGTATGATGTTGCACGGGCAACCCCAGAAGGATCCCCAGTACTGTGGTTCAATCAAATAGTGACCCTGCTTTGCAGAGAACACGAAATTCAGCTTTCTACCCTTTCAGCAAATAAGCGCTGCCACTAGTTTTAGCACCTCGAAACTGTGTGGATACTGCGGATTGAGAAAAACCCCGCACCGCCGTAAGCGCCTCAGGTCTTAAGAGCTAAAAGGGTTAGGTCCGCAATGTTGTGCAAGCTTTCCTCATTCATCATGCAAGCTGAGGACATTACGGCTATGTGATATGAGTAGTGACTCTTGGTGGCCGAATAAAGTAACATCATTTTCTTCTTATAAGATACTTCATGCAAAAGAACATATAGCCATGCCCTATGTTGGGATCCATGCAGGCCCCAAATAAGGCACTGTTCAAAAGCGAGACCCTATGGCACTCCTACATCCAATTCACGGGGGTGTAACTAATACCACCCGCAAAAAATGATGCTCTTATCCCGTCAGCGCCTCCCCCCTCACCAAAAAAAGCATGCCAAAGGCAAGCCCGCAGCAAGCACCCGTTCCAAATTTGAAGGGCTCTAATGTACTCTAAGCAGGAAACCTCAAGACATAATTACTAGGAATACAGTAGGAACATGCCTACCGGGCCTTTTATGTTCCGCTTATATTCCTACGCTTTTCTTGGGGTTCCCCGTTTGGGGTTCGCGTTGAAAATCCTTTTCCAAGGCCAGGCCCTAGCCCATAAGGCTGAACCCCAGGCCCTTAACGGTCAACCTTAACTCCCAAATCCTAGAGCAGTTTAGGAGTTGGCGCTAGAACCCTGGACTTTAGGTGTACGGTTTCCAAGGTTTAGGGATTTAGGGCTTCAGGTTGAGGGTTCAGGGCCCTAAATCTTCGGGGGGAGCTCTTCCCTAAACCCTAAACCCTGAAGCTCTTCCTTTTGGCAGCATTTCTTTGGTCATGGACTGGCCTGATGATCTCCATCTCAGTCCTCCAAGCTCCACAGACTTATAACAGGGTTATATTGGGGGTTTAGGGTTATTCTGGGGTTATATTGGGGTTATATAGGGATAATGGAAAAGAGAATGGAAACTACTATATAGAGTTTAGGGTTTAGGGACTTGAGTAGTGTTTTTTTTGGTGGTTGAACCTAGTAAGATTGCATCCCTTATATAAGAAACTATACCCCAAAAGGAGGATATAATCTCGCTCTATATTGGGTACCATAGTGTCCCCAAATAAAATACTACTCAAAAGAATTTCTGGTGCTTAAGGGAGGATTTCGGGCTAGGAACGGAAAAGCAAACTGAAAACTAGCTTATTCTTGGGCTTTATTTGAGCTATAGTCTAAACTCCTAGTATCCCCCTTCATAACCCCTATAGTAGTCTCCTATATAACCCCCTTTAAGGAGTTTAGACTATGGCTCATTTAGGGTTTGAGGCCTGAGGCTGCCCTTGAGGCTCCGGACTTAAGGGAGATTGAAGGGAGTTATGGTCACCCTTAAGTTGATAGAATATGGGGTATAGTGGGATGTTACTAAGTATAATATATCCAAAGGCATATTCTATCTACTTAAACAAACCATACCCCTAAACCCTAATCCCTCAGCCCTAAACCCTATGTTCTATCTACTTAAAGGGGACTAAATGTGGGGAGTATTCTAGGAATTCACTCCCATGCTCTCTGTCAAGTGGCATCCCCCCTAACTTTAGGGTTTAGGGTTTGGGGTTCCCCAAAAAAAATTCAGTGGAAATTTGGCAGACCTTTGAACTTCTTGTAGGGGAACGGTACTGGTGTATGTGGAATGTCCCTTTCAATGGTACAGTGACCGTCCGCAAGGGGGCTTCAGGAGACTGAGGATCAGGAGCTACCTAACCCCCTTCACCCCAAGATCTCAGTCCTCATACCCGTGGGGACATTATTTAGGACTCCTGGAAAATACTCGGGGAAATAACCTTCCGCAGCGGCCATTTCGGGAACCAGAGTTTTGTTCAACTACCATATACCCCTAGTTTTGTGCTTGATTAGTGCGTAGGGATATATCTCCATACCTTGAGTCATTCCCCAGTACAGTAACAGTTACCACAAGCGATCACAAGAAAAATCGGAATCACAATGGCCTCACGACAAGCCCCTCTAAGAACAGTCCAAGGATCCTTTCGATTCTGTAAACTCGATCCTCCGTTTAGCGCTTAGGGTTTAGGGCTCCTTATTGCAAACCCATTAGAAATAACTCAACCAATGCCCACCATCATCGCAAGCGCCACAGGGGATACTGACACTGCTCTCCTAGTCGAAGAAAAAGCAGGCTGGTGCACATACAGTCTATCCACTGAGTTCAAACAAATTTGGAAGCTTCAATACATAGGAAAACTATCGGCATGATTCCTTTCATAACCATAACAAAACTTGTCCCCAAACTCTACATCAACAGATATGGGGGTTTCCATGAATGGGGGGGTCAATCAAGACACCCAAAATACTATAGTTCTTATGAAAGGGACCCCCCAAACGAAGCTACGCCTAATTTGGACCCCACAAATCCCTATAAATCCCTAAGCTATCCCTACACAAAACCTTTATCTCCCTGTAAAGGTACCCATACTTTTGGGAAACCCTAAACCCTATAAATCCCTATAATTCCTATATATACTCCTATATAATCCCTATATCCCCCTAACCCTAAACCTAGCACAACTAACTGCTGGGCCGGGCACCTGAACGGCAGTCTGCCAGTGAGACAGGTGTATAGACAGATTCCAGCAGACCTGGGCTCAAAAAAAAGGGGCCGTTTGGGGTTTGGGGTTCAGGCTTTAGGGCTTTGGGCTTTAGGGTTCCGGGTTCAGGGTTTAGGGCTTTAGGCTTAGGATCTAGGATACCCCACGCAAATATTCAATATTCTCAACCTGTTCTATTCTAATATACAAGTATACCGTGGTGGGGTGGGGGTTCGAATGCTCAGGGGGAGCGGATTACGTGTAATACTAATAGCCATAATAATACCTGGGTTCCAATATTGGAGGGGGAGTGGTGTCGTGGCGTACAAGAGTTACCCGTTTAATTCGAGATGAGCTTTTTATGTAACCCAAAAAGTTAAGGTTGACCCTAAACCCTAAATTCTAGGCCTTAAACCCTAAACCCTAAACCGCGTTTAGAGCCTAAGGTTTCGGGGTTTGGGTTCAGGGGCCTTTCCCGTTTGCTGAGGTGCATGGCCCTAAGTAATTCGAAGGGCAGACAATCAAAACAGAAAAACAACTCGAAAGTGAGCCTACATGATGAGAATAGTGAAGAACATGAAGCATGAGATTGCTTTTATACAGGACTTTGTCCCCCCAAATGAATTAACTGTTGAATAGAGCGCTTGGGTGTGTGATGTTGTACGTGTTTATGTGAAGACTGTACGGGGAGAATGCTGGAAATCGTTCATGCTTCTACATGGGGAACAACCACGAGTAGTTCAAGGCTCAGGCTAACACGGGCATTCATGATAGCAGTGCCGACAACATTGGAATCACAAGATCATAGCAAGCACAGGACGTGATTACAACGAACATGGCGAAGCCTCAGCAAAAGCGCAAATTGAGGTTTCGGAGTGAGAGGGAGAAGAAGTAGAAGAGCGCAACAGCGATACGACTCGAATTGGCCACCGTGTCACTTCCAAACGCCGCAAACGCTACTACTTGCAATCACTTCTCCTGATGCTGCGATGTTCTACCATGAGAAGCAAGTGCGACGTGAAAAGCAGCATTGACACTAATTAATAGGCAGGATTCGAGTTCGAAACAAGAACATAGTATGATATAATATAATATAAAACACACAGTATGACATAATATAACAGAATATAACATAACATAAATCAGTAAGAGTAGTAATAGTAATAATAACGGCGAAACCAGTAAGGTTAAAATTCGCAAGCGCCCTTGACAGTCTTCTTCAACTCGGAGCCGGAACACAGTCGAACAGGGCACTAAAGTCATTACACCTAGACTTGCGACCCCTTGGCCTAATATCCACCCCACCCATCTACCCCCTCATTACAGGAGCTATAGTGAAAACTCCTAGCATCCCCGTAAATAAGGCCTATAATACTACCCCACATAATCCCTTCTATAACCCCCTTTAAGGAGTTTAGATTACGGCTCAAATCAAGTAGAATGATAACGGCCGCACCTACAGTTTATGGGACCTATAAATATTACCCTAAACCCTAAACCTGTCTGGAACAATCAGAGATGTGGACCAAACATCCACCTTTGGGCTGAAAAATGGTTCCGACCTGCTATGAACAATCAATGGTGAGAATGTCTCCAAAAAGGGGTACTGGTTCAAAAAAACTACTACTATTTAGTTGTACTGGAGCAAAAAAAACAAAGCTGCTACTATTTAGTTGTACTGGAGTGTCCCCCAAAAATCATAAATATAATCTTAAGATCTATTTGAGGTACAAGGAGTCAAGGACCGTAAAAATTGGTAGCTATTCAGGCGCCTACAGTACCCCTACAGGGGTTCTACAGGGGTATATTGGGATATGTAGGGTGTCGGGCTCAGGGTTCTCAAAATGAGAGACCCTTACACAATTAAGGACCCAAAGAATGTACGAGGACCATAAAGGGATTACGGGGATGGATCGACCCGCCACTAGCATCTTGTCAGTCACGTGAAATAAGAATGACAATGCCACGAGCCTTACCTGTTGAGGAATGGCAGGACTGCATATCGCCAACGGGGCATGGCCATCAGAATGACGTCAGATCACTACCATACTGGTACTGCCTCTGGGACTGACAAGTGTAAAGCAATGGACCACTCGGAGCCTTGTATTGGATGGCGGCGACAACACGGAAAAGCCTGCAGTGCAGTCATGAACAGGTTGGATCGTGACGCACACCACTAAAAACCCCAGCCTCCAAGCCTAGCTGAGAAGAAACACCGCGTTGCGATCTGGAAGACGACTCAGCATGGAGGGATGGTACCCGCACAGACCTTACAGAAATATACGGATCATGCAGAGATTACAGGGGTTCCTAAAGGATTCTCTCGACCTACTTTTGGTATGATGTTTATCTAGTCCTATAACGGGACATCCGATACATGTATTTTTCATATTCACCAAAATCCTCAGGGAGCCCTACATGCACTCACCAAAGCCATCACAAAATCCTGCCCTTCTTGAGCCATGTTTTGTCTTGGTTGAAGCAAGTGATCTTGTGATTATGAAGTAACCAAGAGGGGTTACGCTACATTGGGCAGTATAGAATTGCCGTTCATGGGCTCATGTAGGCCGAATATTACTCACCTTCAGAAACTCTCTCAACCCTAAACCTGTCACCCTTTATTTTTGAAGGAGGACTCTCTGAAGTGCCTCCAGCCTAAACCCTAAACCCTATACCCAAACCCTGAACCCCAAACCCTGTATTCCAAACACTAAACCCACACCCTCAACCCTTTACCCCAAACCCTAGACCCTACACCCTCAACCCTTTACCCCAAACCCTAGACCGTACACCCTCAACCCTTTCCCACAAACCCTAGACCCTACGTACACTCTAAACCCTTTGGAAACTCTACTCCGCCTGGATTTGGACCATCCCAGTTGAACGCGCCATGGACAACTCCGGCCTGAGATTAATCTCGAATCTAGGGTTTAGGGCATGGTTTGGGGTTTAGGGTTTAGGGTGTGGGGTCTAGGGTTTAGGGTTGAGGTTTGGGGGTTTAGGATTTGGGATGGTCTGGGATTTGGGGTTTAGGTCTTTATGTTTGTCGTCGCTGAAGGGATTCTGAAGCCTCTATGGCTGAGATCTCGAAGAGGCGGGAAAAGCTTGAAACGAGTAGTGAGCCTGCAAGGCCTCTGGGAAGCCCTTGGGAAGGCCCGCCTGCGGCGCTCCCATTTTTGCGCCGTGGCTGTGCTGAGGCAGGATCAGCTAGGCCGGCGCGTTACCATCCATAGGCGCCGCCCACCAATCTAGGTGGGCTCGAGACCAGGCAGGTGCAGGGTTTGGGTTGGCTGGCTAGAAGCCTTCAGCTTTCTTCAGGTTGAGTTTTGGCGCACCACGTAGCCTGCGGCTGCCTGCGATCTCGATTAAGATGCGAACTCTTGCGGCCCTGCGGGACCAGGCGTATGCAAGTGAGTATGGCTCGGGGCCTCTAGCTTGCTTCAGGCCCGAAATTGGATTTGAGCAATTCGAAGCCCGGCAGCCAGCAAAGCTCGCAAGGTTTGGGGTACATCATTCTTAAGGCCAACTGACGCGCTACTTGCCAGCGACCACTTGCCAGCGACCTGCGAGGTCCACCGTGCAGCCCGCGGCTGCCTGCAGGACTAGCAGCTCCGTCGCCAGCCGGAGGGCTTCTGGCTCGAGCTCCCTCGCCTGCCGGCTTCGGTGCGTTCGTCCTGCTCGGGCCCCAGGCTCACTCAGGTTGGGGTTTCCCAAATTTGGGCTACCCTACCCCCCATAATGGAGAATCTAATGGAAGATGAAATGGAAACTGGTATTAAATAAATCTGGCTTTGGGGCTTAGGGGCTGAGGGCGTACAGGTTGAGGGGTTATGGGCTGCAGAATGCAACAGCCAAACCCCGAATGAATCACAAAAATGATTCCCCTAGAGTCATGTGGGGCATCCTATCTGGATTATATATATATATGTGTGTATATGTATGTGCAGAGGTTAAGAGGGGTTGATATTAGGGATACAACTTTTAGATCCGGGGTGCTCCTTACATAGGCGTGTTTATGGGTTACAGGGCTCTACGCACATATGGTCCAGTAGGGTTTAGGGTCTAGGGTTTAGGGTTTAGGTGTTAGGGGTCGTTTCCATGAACAAGGAGACCTCAATATAGGCACTTACGTATTGCAATCCTTATTATGGGGACCCTTGAACTTCGGAACCGCCCATATAAACATAAATAGTTATGTGTTGATATACATATATATAGACATGTATACACATGTTTTACACACATATACGATAAATTTATATCGCATGTATGAGTATACATAGGGCTCCAGGTGCAGGGCTTCTTCATCTTGTGGGTGCTTAAGGGAGAGTGGGTCGCTGACATGATCCGCTAATATCAGCCCACCTAAGACCCCCAGTAACAAAGGACTGAAAAGGTCACCCTTTTAGAATATAGTGCGGTCCAATCGAGAACTTAGGATGCCAAAAAAGGAAGAAGGGCTTAGTCAGAACCCCTGCCATATAGCAGTCCCCATATTCACTCCCGCGCTCCACATTAAGCACCAGCAAGTGGAGGTTCACCATTCAGGGTGGCAGAAGGACGGTATCCTTGTATAAACGGAACTCTCGGAAGGCATCCCCACATGCTAAGTCGTCGACGTGTCCAAGCTTTGCTTTCGCAACTTCCGGAGCCATGATGGACCTCAGAGCAGTTTGGTTTAGGCATGCTTCAATCCCCTCCCCTTACGAAGAAACCCCTGTATAGTAAAGACCCAACATATAATACCAATATATATATATATGAATATGCGTATGTGTATATGTATATATAGATATTAAAAGGGACATTCGGGTGAATATTTGCTAGGGGATGAGGAATTTCTTATGGGGCCCTTTTCCTCATGGCTGGGTCGGAACTGATTAGGGTTCAGGGTTGTGGGATAAGAACTTTGGCTGCAGGGCTTAGAGGACCTGAGAGTGGCTGAGGGTTAAGGCCCTAAACCCTAAACCCTAATTCCTGAACCTAACCGCTAAGCTCTCGCCCAAGCTATCCTCCAAACCCTGAGCCCTGAACTCTGAATCCCTGGGTTGGCCCTTAAAACCCTTTAAAAAATATTGGTATATAGGGTCCCTTATTAAAGCCATTAGGGAAAATATTAAATATCCTAGGGTCCTACCCAGATCCTAAACCCTAAACCTTGAAACCCCAAACCACACTCAGAGTCAGATTCTGGTTGGTTTGCCGGTTCGAGAATTGGGTTGAGGTTCGGGGCTTTGAATACAGAATGCTGCTGGAGGTTAGTGCTCAGAAGGAGAGCCAGTCTGAGGATTTAGGCCAATGTAGACCCCTAATCAATAAACCCCTTCTCCTCAATGAGGATTATAAGAGGGATCCGAATATGAAGGCGCTTGAAAGGAGTGGGTTTATTAATCAGGGGTCTACATTACTGAGGTTGCTGCTGGATGTATTCCATTGACAGCTAAGCGTGGGAAAGCCTGGAAACGACTTATCATATCCTATATAGTCGAAACCTATAGATAGATAGTTGTCCCTGTAAAACCCTGCAGCTCTCCCTAAGTGTCCTAGATATCCCCACATGACGCCCAAACAAGTGAACGTGCCCACCACCTCCCTCGTGTTGATCCACGATGACGGTGTGGATGATGGGAATCCGACTAGAAGACTCTTTTCTTGTACATATTCTTGTCCCAGACTAGGGTTTGGTAGTTCTACAGAGGAGAGGCCCCAGGCAGTATACCCTAAACATGAGACTTGGCAATTTTTTCTGACGAAGGACGCGCATACAGGAATCATGGCTTTCAAGACCTCTCACTTTCAAAAGCGCCAACACCGGCAGCCTACAACACGGGTAGACCTAGGCTAAAGGGTTGGAGGGTAGAACACGATCCGACACTCACGCGAGTGTGGACTGTTCGCCCCCGAAGTGCTCACGCGAGAAATGGGCTATAGTCCATATTCTAAATTCCTAGTATCCCCCCTTACTAACCCCTACAATAGTCCCCTATATAATCCCCATACAATCCACCTTTGAGGAGTCCAGACTATGGCTCAAATGGCAACCAATCTCATCACACCAGCAATCATGCTCTGCCAGTATCCTACGGGCTAAAAAAAATCACCATAAGCACCCTAACCCCCTCCCCCTAATATGAAACCCCCCCACCGCCGCTAATTTTTGTTGCTCTCCATATGATGTATTGAGAGCATTTAATATTAGGGGGGTGGGAGGTTTAATATTAGGGGCAGGGGATTAGACCTGAACACTAAACCCCTGAGGCGGAAGCCTCAACCCTAAACGTGGCAACAAAGGCTCAGGCGGCGTGCCCACCACGGTTTTCAAAGGGCCCTCCTTGAGGCACTTGGCGACCTTTGCTACAGCTCTCTTCCTCAATTACCGGGGTTAAAAAAAGGTTAAACCTTATTTATAGAGACCCAAAAACGAAGCCCAAAAAGGTTAAGGTTCTTATATTGGTTAAGTCAGGTCACGTGCTAAGGGGCCTTTAAATTCAGAGCACGGGTTCAGGCATGTGGACCAGGACAAACGGAATAGATGATTTCACGGGCATGCTATTCCTAATTTCTGAAGCTTCTATACAACTCTGTCTGGAAGTAGAAGCTTATGGGGAGCATGCAAGTCAAATAGGATTCCGTCACGGGGATCCTGTAGCGGAGGAGTTGACGTATCCCTGCTCAGGCGAGGTGCTGAGGTCATCGGACGTAGGTTAGCCCTTCGTCGTTTACTTGAAGTAGCGCGGTATGAGTTACCTACTTAAGCAGTTTTTTGCATGGCACCGACTGTACATATAACTGTCCAACGGCTTCTCTTGGCTCTGGCAGGCTTCGAAGGCAGAGGTCTAAGTGCAATTACTCATCAGCAAGTTGTCGGTGCAAACCCCCTTAACCCAGAACCCTAAAACCCAAACCCTGGGCCCCAAAACTCCCAACTCCAAACCCCAAGGCTGGTTAATTACCGGGGAACCTAGGGGCAGGGGGTAGTATATAGAGGGGGTAGTAAGGAAACCCATGATTATAAACCGTAACACCCTAATCCTTGTTGCTGCGTAGACATACCAAGTCAAAAGAGCCTCCAAGTAAAAAGTGCCCTATGAACCACTAGTTCATAGCAGTATTCATTTCATGTTCCATGTTCTTTTCCATGTGATTCTCCATTATCGGGGTTGTATCGCACTACATGACTCATACAGACCCCTAAGCCCTAAACCCTACATAGTAGCCTCCATTCTCTTATCGTTTACCCCCCTAAACCCTGAACCCCAAACCTGAGCAAAGCGCTCCGAAATCAATGAGCTTCACCCGGCTCTCCAGGTCAATCACGTCACCCGTGATCATGACATTCCTTGCTAGCTTTTGGGGGGTTCCCCAAATTAGGGGTACCTATGGATACTTCCTTCTTGGGGTCCCATAATGAGGATTAGAGAGTTTTGGGGTGTGTAGTGGGATTTATAAAGACTCCTTCATGTGGTTTGGAGGTACATATTAGCGGTAGCGGTGTCTTATGCTGCTTGAGGTTCCAGAGCCTACCATGGAGATTCTTTTAGCATGGAGAAAACCATACGCCCTTTTCCTACAAATTTTCTACGCTTCTATATGCCTTTGCATTACTACTACCTACTCCTTTAAGCGGTAGGTGTCCTAGTATGTAGAGGATTGATTTCTCACAATTTGAGCCACCTAAGCTGGATAGACACACTATACAGACCCTGTAGCCCCCTTAGACCTATAACAACTTGGTAGATATGTTTCATAGCTCCTTGGGGTTATACTACAGTGAAGCTTCAAATGGTTTAACGGGATAGGAGAGACAAGGCCCTAAACCCTAGACTACATAATCCATATGAGCTATAGTCTAAACTCCTAGTATCCCCCTAAATAACCCCTATTGTAGTCCCCTATATAATCCCCTATATAACCCCCCTTTAAGGAGTTTAGACTATGGTTCAGATACAGACCAGGTTCTCAGGTTTCAGGTCACGGTGGATGATACCACGGCTGTGCATATGCGAGAGCCCATCGAGGACCTCCACACATCTCAAGGGTTTAGGGTTGATAGGATTTAAGGGGAACCAATTACATTGTTATGTACAGGGGGGGACTGTGATACTACACATAGATTGTATATGTATATATAAGTATGTATATTTATGTTCATATTTAGCCTTTTGGGAAGCATTTGTACAAGCGGTGCTAGTTGTCACAACAAGTGGCCGTCCGTTGAAGCCTCGTGAAGATTTGATAGCTGCCCTAGCTCCAGACTCCAGGCCTATCCCATCATGTCAGTCCCTTTGCCGAACTCCAAAATCCCATCGGTCCTTGCTGATTGGCTCATGCTTCAGAAAAATGTGGCCTTGGATCTACATTATCACTCATGCGTTTTCCAAGTACTGCGCAGATGACCCTATCCCATTCTACGCCCCAAACCTGACATGCGGAACCTTACACCTTCAGGCCTAAACTGCCCCGCCTGAATCAGGATGTGCCTGGCTACGGGCTCTTTCAGAGGCCCCTGTAAAGCGATGTGCTCCGCAAGCTCCTTGCCTTGAACCTCCTGGCACACGCTTGGAACATTTTTGTGTGGCGTGTGAGGTTGTTGGGATCCGAATGAAAGTATGTCCCCCTTAAGTAGATAGAATATGGGGCATATGGCGCTCTTATTATAATATACCCAAAGCCATATTCTATCTACTTAAGGGGGACTATAGACTTTGAGGTGGCAGGGCCCGCTGCGACCGTCACTCACATAAAGCACGCAACAAAGTGTGAGAAGGAGGCTTTGAAATTGTATCATGCCCTGTGCGGGATATTCGTGCAAATCCCCCGAACTGACATCCACAAGCAGATGGTTTAGAGTTCTAGGGCTTGTAAATAAGGTTTTAGGGTGCAGGGCTTAAACAGGACATGCAGTTTCGGATCCCCAGGACATGATAGCCTCCTACTTGCCGTGTTGGGGGGACCTTGTAACTGCTTGTACAACTGCAGCTGTGGTTACAATAGCCCCTCCACTCCCAGCAAAAATTAGGACTTTGCAGCACGTGTTGCAGGGGGAGGGGTTGTATAAGTATACCACGAAATCCTCCTGACCCTCCAAGTGCTGCCAATGGATTCACTGCTGTAGCTCTTGCCACTGTCAAATGTGCGCCACATTGATCTACATTTAATTCCAAAAAAAAGTGGAAGAAACCCAAAGCTTGGCTGGCCTTCCTGATCATCCTACCCAATCTAACCGCTGCACCTCAAACCTACCCAAAAATCAGAGAGGAACATCCCCCCTAAGTGATATGAGGATTCCTGACGTATTTTCGGGGAGTCTTCCTTGCAGAAGCAACTGGAAGGCTCTGGGAAAGGCGGCCTCAACCCTCACCCATAAATCCTACACCCTAAACCCTAAATCCTGAACCCCAAACCCCTAAACCCTTAAGCCCCGGTAAATACAAACTGTATAGGGCAAAAGTTCACACCGAAACTCCCTCAAAAGTCACCCAAAAGTCGCTCAAAACTCCCTAAACACTAAACCCTAAACCCTGAACCCTGAACCCTGCCTCCATGACCACCACCTTGTAGCGAGGCCGGGTTTTTCCTGTGGCGTCGACGCTGTTGACTGTGGCAGTGGATAGCAGCCCCGCCTCGCCACGGAAATCGGATGTAGGGGTTTAGGGTTTGGGGTTTAGGGATTAGGGTTTAGGGATTAGGGTTTAGGGTTTAAGGGTTTAGGGTTCGCTTTAGGGTTTGGGGTTATCTGAAAACAAGGTAATGGAATGCTTCATATAGGCTTAATCGAAGGGTATAATACAGGGGGTATATAAGGATCATGGAAAAATGGTCTTACTTAGGGTTTAGGCCTTCGCCACGCAAATCTGAAAACTAGAGAGGAAGTTCTGCTTCGAGTCAGTAAATCTAAGGATACCCGCAAAACTTTGGGTCCTGCCCCCACCCATTAGCAGTCGATAATAGGGGTCATACTAGGGGCTTTATACAAGATATTGTAATCATCAACCAGCTATTAATGAGTGGGGCAGGACCTTTACCATGCTACATGCAAGTACTGTGAAGCGACTAGATCTGCATAGAAGCTGCCATGCTGATACCTTCCTTGCAGCAGCAGTAGCACGAGCAGCACTGCAGCAAGGATACTCCTGGCACTAACACCATGACCACGTACTGCTGCTGCTCTCACCAAAAGTGCTACGACTGCTCCTGCTACTGCTACGCCTCGTGCCACAAAATAATAGACTGAAAAAAGAATCATATGAACCCCAGAAGACTGTAATCCTTAGCCTTAGCATAGAGTGCAAACATAGCCGGGCATAAATACTGAGTTCCTGAATATAAGCTATAGTCTAAACTGCTAGTATCCCCCTTAGCAACCCCTATAGTAGTCCCCTATATAATCCCCTATATAATCCCCTATATACCCCCCTTAGGGAGTTTAGCCTATAGCTCATATAGAGATCCCTGATTCTCGGAAACCAGCAGGGCCCGGACGATGTTTTCGTGGCTACCGAGCATGTTCAGCGCATCAAGCTCGGAGTCGATCGAGGCCAGCTTCTTGTCCTATGTTTAGGGTTTGGGGTTTCAGGATTAGGGTTTAGGGATTCGGGATTAGGGTTTAGGGATTACTAAGGTTTAGGGGTATGGTTCCCCACAAGTAGATAGAATATGGCTTTGGGTATATTAAACTAAGATCCCCATATACCCCATATTCTATCTACTTAAGGGGGACTATAGGGTTTCGGGTTCATAAGGGAGGCGCAGACCTCGGAGTGCGGACGAATACAGGGGTATATGGGAGTTTCCCAAAATTAGGGGTACCATTTCAGGGGTCCCAAAAATAAGGACTGTGGTATATTGGGGTCTATATTGGGGTCCCCCTAATTTTGGGAAACTACCATATGGTGATATATAGGCATTAGGGTCAAGTATTTAGGGCCTAGGGTACTTGGGGAATGGAATGAAGGATCAAATGCAAAAACGAGTGGAAAATGACATGGAACTCACTACTTAGGATTTTGGCTTCCGGGTTTAGGGCTGTTGCTGTTCACCTCACATTGCTCTGTGGGACCCTGGGGTTGCTGATGGGTTGAATAATCAAGCTCAAGGTACGCCATTTGAGCTAGAGTCCAAACTCCTAGTATTTCCCCCCAAAAAATGAAAACGCCTATAATACTCCCCTTTGTAATCCCCTACATAACCCCCTTTAAGGAAGGTGACCCTGAGCCCCTACTCAGGCTTTAAGAGGTTCAGGGCTGTGAGCAAATCACTGAACTATCTCGCCTGTGATTATGCCAGGGCTCATTGCTGCAATGAATTCTGCGACTAACACTAGTCATTATTTGTCCGACCATATGTCTTTTCTCCTGTTGGTCATTCCTACTCCACTTGGCAGTATGCAGCCGATACTTGGAACGCCTAGGCTGGTATGCGTTTATTCTGGTCGCTGCGAAAAAAACTCCTCCAAGAACACTTACTCTACAAAGACTGCCCTGATTGCAAAGGGTTTGCAAGGGATTCCATGCAGGTTTGAAGAAATTCATGCTTTCCAAAACGCAGAACCGCATGGAAACCCGTGTGACTTCGCCATGCGCCGTAGAAACCTCCAGTGTTATTCACTCATGACCCTCACACGCCAATTAGACCAATCTAGAGGGTAGCCAAACAGACCATTCGAATCATTCAGGCCCCTACATCCAATTCCTTTTGAAATCCTCTGTATATGTATGTAGATATATATATATATAACACCGTATCTAGGTTTATATAACCCTATATACCCCTATCATTTCTCACCTCGAATCCGGGCTCGAGGATTAGACGCCAAGTGGGGATGACCTGCATCAGCCAATCCAGGAGACTGGCTTGCTTTCAGGGTTTAGGGTAAGGTCAGGAACTATGCTGGGATACTCAGGAACAGTGGAAAAGAAAATGGAAACTGCTTTCGGGTTTAGGATTTAGGGGTTGGATGGGGATTCTCTAAGGATCTGGTTTATTATAAGCAGTAATTAAAATAAAAAAGGGACGCGAATTCACACTTGCCCATTTTTTGAAGTGGGGCTTCACAAGGCTATTCAAGGTTTTCAGGTGTTGTTTTGGCTATTGTCCAAGCTTGCTAAACCACAAACCCGAACTGCTCTCAAGGGATCTCAAGATTCTGCTCAAACTTGTTGTGAGGGGAAGCCAGGCGTTGTTGACATGATGAGCCTGAGAGAAGCTATCAGAAGGGATCATGAGGATCAAGCTTACACTGTACTTTGAATATCGACAATACTTTACATGCTACTGCACCTTCAAACTACTTTTTTTGCGCTTACGCTTGAGCAGCAGCCAACATCGGCCATGACCCTGATTCAAACTGCTTATGGTGCGGGAGGCTCAACAAAGGGAAACCGTAAATTTGACGAACCCCAAACGTGCGGCCTTGCCGCGCTGCTTCCCTCCGCTACTGACCCGCCTTCATAGTATGGGCAACATCCGTACCCTCAACCTTTGGGCCTAAACCTAACCCAACAAAACAGAGAAAGATTTACGCTGCAGGCCTCATTCACTAAGCATCCACTAAGCGGAACCATTCTGCTTATCTAACAGGACAAAAGCGTTGCATGAACCCTTTTTGACGTGATCTAACGTGGAATCTGAGAAGGGGCATTGTCAAGATCCCATAACCCCTTCAAAGAAGGAATTCTATGGAAAGTTCTGCCCAAACCCTAAACCCAAAACCGCGTTTAGGAAGCAAGCCCAGCCTTTATTGCAACTGGAACGCCATCAGCCGTTTGCCCTCGGTACCTCGGGGCAAATTTGGGAGTGGACAGGTCAATGTACCCAACACGAAACCCTAAACCCTAAACCCCAATTTTTGGCAACTTCCCGGTATAGCAATCAGTAGGACTTGGGTGAAAGAATGCCCGAACAGAGCCAGCAAAACAGGAGCTGGGCTTTCCTTAAAAAGAGGGCTTTTAGGGACCCAAAAGGGTGGTTTTCCAAATTCGGTGTACTTTCTCAGGGGCCCTAGAACACGGAGTAAACAAAAATTGGGTCTGTATTGGGGTGCCCTAATTCAAGGAAACTACCATATGTGCATACAAAAGTTCACGGGATTCAAAAGCCCAACCCCATAAGGTTTATACAAAGCTCATCTGGAGAAATAAGCAATTACTTTCAATTACCACTTGTTGGCAGAAACTGAGTCCCACACACGGTGCCCTGGCGGCGGCAAAAGGATTCGAGTTCCGGGTTCAGGATCACCGCTGCTTGGAGCTGGTTTGAGGGGTCACGGTCCAGGGACCGTGAGAAGCATATTTGTAACCTAGGGCGGGTAGCTGTTGAGGACCTTAAATAAGTTACCTTAATGTGTATATAGTGCTCAATCTGTTTCCCGAATATTTCATAGTAACTTAAATTAACTTCCTTAGCAGCAACCCAGTTTAGCCCCTCACTAATGGCCACCCATGAAACTTCTGGGCTTAAATTCTTTCCATAGGTCTCGGTAAATCATGGGTAAATCATGAAAGGTAACGACTACTTGGGTAGTTGGGTTTAAGATTAGGGCCAACGGTTATGTTCCATCCTGATACACTATGACTGGACTGAAAACCATTCCCTAAACCCTAAACACGCCATGTTTGGGCGGTCCAACTCTTGCGGCACGCTCAGTCGCTAAACCCCTATATCACACGCTCGAATGATGCAAACCGGCCTTTGTCTTTGATAGTACAGCGGTTCTGCAACATACAGTAGTGGCTTCTAAAAATCGAAATGGGGACCCATACGGATATGAGGGTCTTGAAGGGCATGTGGATTAGGTGGGAATGCCCCTAGCTGGCCTCCAAAAGAATACCTGCCTATAACTTGGATGATAGCTTCCGAAGTTGCATATGATCATAGCACCAAAAAAGTTGGCCAATCTGAGAGAATCTCATGTACGTGGAGGAACTCTGGACTTAGAAAGTCTACCAAGAAACAGGGGTTCTGGGGCTGATAATGGGGGTCATTGGGGATAGCAGGTAGCCTTAAACCCTAAACCCTAAAACCCTACACACTAAAACCCGAAAACCCTAAAAACCCGAAACACACTGGCTTCAGAAAGTAGGAGCGGAGCCTGAGCTCCCGATCCGAGGATCTGATCGAAAAAAATCTGGTACTTCTGGCCATCTTCGTAGGAAATCTCAGAGATCCTGAGTAAGGCTTTAGGCTTTAGGGAGGTGCGCACATTCATGTGGTAGTTTCCCTAGACAACGAGACCCCAATATGGTAGTTTCCCAAAATAGGGGGACCCCAAGACAGATCCCAAAATACTATAGTCTTTATTATTGGGACCCCTAAAATGGTACCCCTAATTTTGGGAAACTCCCATATAGACCCCATAATACAATAGTCTAATTCTGGGGGATCCCCAGAGCCCTTTATGTGAAACTTCGGTCACCGTCTACTATGTTAGGGTTTAGGGTTTAGGGTTTAGGGTTTTGTCTGGCGATGCAGCAAACTTGTTGTCGAGTTTGCTGAGAGGCAGGCTCCTCGAGTCCCCTGAGAACTGTGGCTGAAGACCTGCACGGAA